AGCAAAAGTGCATTTGGAGATTGTCCCCTATCCTGATCTTGATTTCAGTTCCCCAAATTCTCAGCGGTGGTTGAACTGGTTGAGGAACTGAACGCTATACCTCCGGAAGGCACCAAGGTTCTCAGAGGCGGATCTAGACCAGCGGTCACCAATTGGTGGTCCGCGAGAAAATTTTGGTGGTCTGCAGAAAAATGCACTTTTGCTATATTGCACGAAATCAGGGATCCTCAAACTATGGCCCCTGAGCCAGATACGGCCCGCCGAAGCAATTACTCCTTCCCGCTGCCAGGATGGGGTCCTTCAGGCATTTAGCTCAGCTGCCTGTTTAGTAGCTCTAGCCTTCCCCCCCCCCTCCCCCCCGGGAGTCCAGGTGCTTCAGTGAGTGGTGCACAAAACTTTGGCTGGGCTCCTCAAGAGACAGAGTTTGCAGGGGGTCCATCTAGCACCTGGCCTGGCTGCAAGACAAGTGTTCATTCTTGGCCGTATTTGAGATTCCTAGCTGCAATGGACAACAAAACTAGGGTTCACCTTCGGCGCTTCTCCCCGCTAATAGATGGCCGAGCTATGCCTGAAGGACCCCATCCTGTCACTAATTCATATTGGCCTTTTCAAACCTGATGCTCCGTAGAGGCAGACTACCACTTCCAACTTCCCCAGCCAGGCCACAGCAGAGCTGGCTGGGGACAACAGTCTCAACACACATCTGGTGGCACTGTCCAAAAGAAAGCTTTTCTAAGGTTCCCTGTGATTTTTTCCTTTGCAAACGTAGAAGTATACTCTCCAGAGTCTACACAATGTCACAACCTACCTAGGGTTACAGCCTACTCTACTAGGAAGCCAAGAAAGAGTCCAGTCCATTGAACCCAGGAACAGGGCTGGCTTTATCCTGGAATGCCCAGGATGCCATCAGAATGGGACTTTAGTGGAGCCTGGAATTCCTCTTAATGGATAGGCTGGCTTCAGAGATAGCAAGGCTAGTCTGCTCCCCAACCTGAAATGACCTTGTTGTCTCATTGCTTTGGTGGGTTGTAATAAAAAGACAAAAAAAAAAAAGTTCAGGCCCCAGAAGTGTCAAGGCTGGTTGAGAAAACCTTGGGTGTTTTTCCGCTTTGCAATCTCATGTTTGAGTTACTAATACCTAAAATGGTATGCTGGCTTGTGATTTAAGGTGTACCACTATCTTCTTAGGATCCCCCATCCTGCTTCTTTTCTCTAGGTGGGTTGGTTTATTTATTATCTCAATTTATCTGCCTCCCCACCCTTAAAAAAGATCAAATTCATAACTCTGGGTCGTTCCCAAGATTGAATACACCAGAAAATGTAATGGAATTAAAGGTTTCTAGGTTAACTAACTTAATTTCCTGCTAAATTAGCAACCTTATTTTGTCTTAAAAGCACAATCGAGTTTGGGAAAGTCTAGTGTGGCAGCATCTGCTCTATGCTGGATAATTTCTTCCTTGTCTTTCTTTTATTGATTAGAGAATGCAGGCACAAAGCTTCAATTCTTTTCTTTCTTTCTTTCCTTCCTTCCCTCTTCTTTCTTTCTTTCCTCCCTCCCTTCCTTTCTCTTTTTCTTGCCTTCGCACAGGATCTGTGTGAGGTATTGTATGCCAACAGCCCTGGCCATGTTGCTACTGCCTTGGACATCTCTGCCCCATCCCTTGACCCCCATCCTGCCATGCCTTCCTGCTTTGGAAACCTGCAGCTTCCATCCTGCCGTCCTTCCTTCTTTCCGATGATCCCAGGCCCAAGTGGCTTCTTCATCCTGGCTTGGTTCTGGTTTCTTGATTGGCCTTCATGAGTCCTGCCATTTCAATCCTCTTCTTGTCTCTGCCTGAGCCGTCTGGATGTCACTTCCATGATGTCTTCCACTGCTACTTCACCCTTCACCCCCACCGCGCTCCGCTTACCATGTCTCTTATTCCCTCGCCCCAATTCTAAATTGCGATCCCCAACCAGATTAAACAGGAAACGGGGAGGAAAAACAGATGGCCCGAATCCTTAGCCAGAATCTGCCTTGTATGTGATCCCACCTACGTCCTTCTTGTTCGTCCCACTAAACTTAGAATAGAATGGAATAGAATAACAGAATTGGATGGGACCTTGGAGGTCTTCTAGTCCAACCCCCTGCTTTGGCAGGAAACCCTATACCAGATGGCTAACCTTTCTGTCCTCACGTGTTAAAATTGCACGTGCCCACACCCACAATGCAATGCGCCCCACCGCGCATGTGCACACGACCTTCCCTGTGCTCCCCTTGCCCCCTGTGCATGTGCACAAACCGTGCACTCCCCCCACGCATGTGCATGACTTCAGCCCGTGCCCCGTTTTGGGCCTAGCAGGCCTCCCTGAAGCCTCCCGAAACCAAAAACGGGGCGCAGAGCCCCAGGCCATGCTCCCCCTGCCCTTCTTGCAATGTGCGCTTAATGCCCCCACGCATGCGTTCACGACCCCTCACCATCCCCGTGCATGCATGTGCATCTCCCATGTGTACGGCAGAGACCCGAAAATCAGCTGGCCGGCGAGAGGCACGCACACATGCGTGGTGGAGCTGGGCTGGCCGATGGTTCCCCTTCCCACAGAGAGGGTTTCGCGTGCCACCTGTGACACGTACGCCATAGGTTTGCCATCACAGCCCTACACCATTTCAGACAAATGGTTATCCATCTTACCAGTTGCTCTTACAGCACCCCCTGTTCTTTCCTGCCAATGCTGGGAAGGTTGCCGGGGTGGGGGTGGGGAGACTTTCTCCCTGTCCTATCTTCCTTCCAAGGGCTTCTGATGTTTCAGCCTATACATTTTTAAAGCTTAGAGGGCCAGCCCTTGAAAGGAAGATGGGTTTTGTGTCCAAGGTTAATGTGATTTGCCTATGCAAAAATAGTCAAGACTATCTCAGGGAGTTAACACTGTCTGCTGCAGACCCCTTTCCTTAGCTCAGGCTGAGATGATCTTCTGCGCCGGCAGCGCTATCAAATGCATAGATGTCTGATACCAGCCCCAAGGATGGTTGTGCCCATGATGAAACTCAATCCAATGACAGCATGGCATGCATGGCGTTGCTTCTCTCCCTCCTCTTGTCGATCCAGATGCATTGATGTGTTCCCTCTGTGATCACAATGGTGACTAGCTCGGTGATTTCGAGACCCAGGTCACACCCTGCATTAAGCCAGGCAGTTATTCAGTGGTATAAAGGCTTGTTTAGCCACATTGGAAGCCAAACCAAATAGATCGCTTGCAGGATTAAGGCAAACGGTGAAGGCAGCCTTAAGGGGTGCTATTTTACTATGTCGTTGTTCTTGGGAAACTACAATAAGAATATCAGGATATTTTAATCCCTAGGTGTTTTTGTTACATGGCATCATTTTAATCATGCTCTTGAAGGGGTTGTTCCCAGTGAGTAGCCATCAGTGGTGCGATGGCCCAGAGGTGGAATTCTCGCCCCACAATTAGGAGGCTCTGAGTTCGATCCCATTTAGCGGCAGATATTACTCTCTGGGCACAATGAGAATTTATCTGCTAAATATAACTCCACATTGGTGACAGGAGGGGCATCTGGCCAGTAAACACCCTGCTCCATCCAGTTGCCCTGACTCCATCCCGCAAGGGATTATGGGGAGGATTCCCAGTGAGTATCCATTCTGATTCTGACTCTTTACCAAATCCCCCAAAGTGGGAATGCTTTATTTGTATGTATGTATGATGTGTGTGTGTATGTATGTATGTGGTAGAATGTAAATGACTAACAATTCCTCCATATTTCACAAGCACATCCCCTGCCTGCCTGCCTGTGTGTTTGTGTATATATATGTGTGTGTGTGTGTGTGTTTGTGTGTGTATATTATATAGGGGATGTGCTTCTTGTGACATATGGAAGAATTTTTGGACATTTAAATCCTCCCACATTCTACTTAGAATTGAGTGCCTCCTTTATGTTACCAATGTGTTTGTGTTTCTCTGTAGTCTTTTAGTTCTGGTCGTCCTCAACATGATGCTGTTCTACCGGCTGTGGTCTCTGGAGCACACAGCCCGGACTGTGGAGTCATGGCAAGCGTATGCGCTCTCCAATGGGTGAGAAAGACGCTCTGGGAAAGAGAGAACGGGAGACTGGCTTCCTTACTCTTAAGAGATTTTGAGAATTTAATGCAAGCTAATGTAGCAATAGCACTTAGGCTGAGATACCACTTCGTAGTGCTCTGCAATTCTCAATGACCCGACGGTTACTCTCAACATGGTTTGGCCAGCCTGTGGAAGCTGTTGCCCAGAGTGTGGCAGCATGTACAGCGGCCACACCCCTGGCAATAGCTTTGACAAGTTGGCCAAACCAAGTTGAAAGTAACCATTGGGTCATTGAGCTTTGGTGAGATAGGGACTTGTCTATCCCGAGCATGTGAAGACAGATTCCAGTCTGTCTGCGGATGAAACCTACTAGAATAAGACAACAGTCATTGAAGGGGGTCTCTGCAAGTGATGTGGTACGCTAAGAGCATGGCAAGACACAGAAGGCTCCCCGATCAACCACTGCGCCCAGCTCATCTCCCAACTGTCTTGAATCTTGTCCTGCTATTGGAGCAAGATGGAATTTGGGAAGTGAGAATGAGGCCGACTCTGCACACCTCTCCCTCACTTTAATCCAACTCAAATCCGTTCAAGACTTCTCACTCAAAATACAAATAACCAGATTCAATTTTTTCATACTTTGGACCCCTTATGTAAAGATGTAACTCCCTTAAGAAATTCATAATGCTGGGAAAGGTGGAAGGAGAGAGAAAAGGGGATGACCACCAGTAAGGTAGAAGGATTCAATTACTGTGGCAATAGCTACACCTCTAAAAGAACTAAAGGAGAAGATTGGGACAGATCATTCCAGAGAAAGTCTATCTACTATGTGATTGCATAGAATAGATGCTGACTTGATAGTACATAATCCACCACTCCATCAATAGCATTTATGCTGGCTGGGGAATTCTAGGAGCTGAAGTCCACATATCTTAAAGTTGCAGAGGCTGAGAGATACTGTTCTGCTATGAAAATGTTTTTAAATTAGACAAAATTAAATTAGGTATGTTTTGGGCACGTGATGATTTTTTAAATCAAAGCGACTAATCATTTTGACCGTTTCGCTTTGCAAAAACCTTGATGCTTAAAATGTAAAAAAAATAAAAATGTAGTCATAACAAAATTGTATCTTATGGTTGAAAGGCTGGGTATAAATCAATAGAGAGACAGCAGGAACCAAAACAGATACAAGTAGAATGATAAACATATTTATTATCAGAATATTTTAAAGCAGGTCAGGAATGCTCAAAGGAAAGCCAACATTATTTACATTCCTTGCTGAGTTATATCTTCAGTGGAAAACCAAGATTTGACACTATGTGAAACAAAGATGATGAATTACGCAGCGTATTTTAAACTAATTATCTTTATTGTATCCGTAAAGTTTTTCCAGTGCTAAACAGTGATTAACTTAAGACTTAAAATCTGTTTTGAGCACAACTTTGGAAAACATACTGCCTACCATTGAAATGTTCTGGGCTATTGCCTGGAAAAGCATATCATGATTCAAATAAACATGTCAGGCTTTTAGTCTATCCCTAAGGAGGACAGAGAATCAATTCCTTTAAGTGAATTTTTCTTATAGAGTAGCTAGGATAAAACAAAGAAAAAGGGTACCACTTTTCTGGAGGAAAAGTGAGGTATAAATGTATATTAAACAGGTGGTTGAATACCAAAGGTCAGTAAATTATTTGAAATACTGTGCGAAAGGATTTAGGAAACTGATACCCTTTGCCTTTTTATAGCTATAGAATTAATTAATTGCTCCTTAATATATGCAGTCCTCTGAGTGGAATAAAATAGAATACAATAAAACAATATAAAACCCAATAAAATATCCCACAGTACAGTGAGAGAAAATCATTGGCAATAAAGTGCTGTGAACTTCCCAGTTTTTAAAATGCTTCAGCCAATGAAATGTTTTTGGTTTGAAATAGTGAAGCTGTAAAATAGGTACCAGAATCTTTTGAGGAAGCATTCCTAAAACTTGGATCCTGCCTTATTTGGAAGGATGTTTGGGAAAAGTTTTCAGATGAAGCCCATCCATCAAGATAGACCAATCACGAGTTGGATGTGTCTTGCAAGCTGGTTTTCCAATAGGCTTAACTTGCTTCTAAAATAGAATTATAACCTTCCCTCCATACCTCTAAAGCCCAAGAGCCATGATGGCGCAGTGGTTAGAATGCAGTATTGCAGGCTAATTCTGCCGACTGCCAGCAGTTCAATTCTTACCAGCCCAAGGTTGACTCAGCCTTCCATCCTTCCGAGGTGGGTAAAATTAGGCGTGGCACGACAAAACCGCGCTCCACTAAAGCACGCCCGATTAAACTGCGTCGCTGACGTCATCAGTAGGGCGACAACAGCGACCGCGGAAAAAAAGGGCGCTTTAAATAGCGCTTTGAAAGCAAGCCGATTCAAGTTAAGGTAAGGGTTAGGTTTAGGGTTAGGTTAAGGGTTAGGTTTAGGATTAGGTTTAGGGGGGTTAGGTTTAGGTTTAGGGGTTAATTTTAGCTTTAGCTTTTACAGCGTGCTTTTTTCGTCGCACTGTGATGACGTCAGCTACGCGGTTTCGTCGAGCGCGCTTTAGTCAAACGCGGTTTT